AAGATTTACATGAACATCAGTGGTGATGTATGTTTAGGAATATATTTAAGTATCAGAATATATTCTTCACATTTTAGTGTTGGAAGCAGATGTTAAGTTAAAACTGTTAATAGTATCTTGTCTTGGTCTGGTATTCCTATTTTAATGAATATGTGTTTTTGTTGTGTTATTTTTAATATTTAAGATACTGAACATGAGTAATCAGTTTTTACCATTTGGAATGATTACATTGTAGATGCAAAATATTCAGACTTATTGTCCGTGTCGGCTAAAGACGGCTGGTGTTTGATCATACCCTGACAACATGGACGGTGACTCAACCACTGATTAGCTGTGGTGATGTAGCTGGAATATTGCTGACTGCGGCATTAAACAACATTCACTGGACCGTTGCCACACAACCGTGTAACTGCCAGGTAATGTTCAGTGACTTCCTATGGTGGTCTTACGGCCACAGACCATCCACACAGCAGTGAAAACACTCAGCTTTCTATCTTATTTCAGGCAACAAGAAATGATGTACATATTGATGCTATAACGTTGAATTTGTCATACATTTTAAAGTCTGTTATAATCAGAATAAAAAGACTTAAGCCTGCTCCACTGCTATGTTTGGTGACCTTTTATCCATGGTCTGTAGCCTGTGTGGAAATACTTCACCAAAGTCCTGTTCAATCCTGAAGTTGGAGGCAAATTGATCAATTGTACAAAGCAAGTATATCAAAGCATAACCTGAAGTATACATTATAACATGTACCAGACAATATGTATTTGTCAAGATCTTTCTGAAGGCTTTGAAATGGTTGTTAAGATCTGGTTCTGGCACCATGTAAGTGCAGGCTTGTAGACCAGTAATGTATGTGTTATAATGTCCGATACATGCAGCAGCATTTTGATCCAATCTCATGATCAGATCTTTCACTCCGATACTCCCAACTTGAAGATCTGACTCAAAGTTTTAACTCGGATTTCAAACTTGGTGCCCTTGGCAGGCATATTGGAAAACATTGTGATATTTTCAAAACTGGATTTTTCTAATGTTCTAATTTTCATAATTTTTTTATTCAAATGGGGAATTTGTACTTCCATTTTCTGCGGACTTGGGGCCGACTATCAGCCTCAGGACATGCCTAGATAAATCCTTGTGACATCACCTCGACTAAAAAACTTCAGGGGAACCCTAATCGAACTTTGACAGCATTATCTACCTGAATGATGCATAGGTTCTGGAGCCAGTACGATGTCATCGTTGTATGACCATTCGGCTTCATTTATTTACAAGTTTCCATCTCGGCAAACAAAGGAAACCGCCATGGAATACAAATATTCCCGTGATAATACATAGTGTAGATGCCAGGATGCTGTAACAACTGGATGATAGTGCAGCATTAGTTGTTTGCATTCGGAACTGCCCAATTATATTTCCTTTTGAGATACAGAAATCAGATATGCTTGTCTGAATGCTTTGCTCACTCATACCAAGAATTTGGAAGCCTTGATGCCGGGTGGCTGATTTGTAAGTTCACTTGATACGACCTGCGATGGTGGCGTCCTCAGATCTTCACACAGAGAGGTATCGTTTTGGAGTACAAGATCTGATTATAGGGAGATTGCATTTCAGTCAGAAACTAAGGCCACTTTAGAGGGGTTGTACTGAATAAACAAGCAACTGTCATTGGCTTTCACAGATGTTTGTCAAGAGTTTGAACCCATAGCGTCTGACCATTGTAACTTCTATGATTATTTATCCTGATGTGGCAAGTGTTCAATATTGTCACACTAGCAGTTGCAGGATTCCTGACTGAAATTGTTTGGTCGTGTTAATGTCATAGACGCTCAACCACTGCCATGCTTACAAACCAACACTTGTCTTGTTGAAATGGTTTGAGTGTAGAGGGAATTCAATAACCATCACATACCCGGAAACTCTGTTCATGGTGCATGGTCAGATTTGCAATTTATGTAAGACCACTTTGTGTTTTGCGAAACCTGACAGAGAAATATATTTCATGTACATACTCAGTATAGTTTGCAATCTCTGTGTATGAGTTATTTGTAATGCTCGACATGCACACGCCATCGTTCATTCATGTGCCTCACAGTCCCGTGAAGATCCCGGGTTAGAATTGGTATTCAGCTACCCATGCTTGTCGTAAGAGACGACTAACGGGATCGGGTGGTCAGGCTTGCTGACTTGGTTTGATGCATGTCATCGTATCCCAATTGCATGGATTGGTGCACATGATGTCAATCACTGGATTATCTGGCCCAGACTCATATTTACAGACGGCCCATATATAGCTGGAATATTGCTGAGTGCAGCGTTAAACAAACAAAGCAACAAGCCTCACAGTCATGTGAGTACACAGGATAATCTCAAGCTCCTCACAGTGACCTCTCCTTCCCTGCAGAGGGGATGAAGTTTTCATAGAGACTGGTTCCAGACTGTATGTGTGTTGCAACTTCATAATGTCAGATATGGATTCTTCAAGTGATTGATTCTGAAGATTTATTTTTAGCCAACATTTGGGATTTGCCTTTTTGTTCTTTACTTAAGCAGGTTATAAATTCCATATTTTGGGCGTTGTTTTCCCAGTGCAACCATTGCAAGTCTGATCTTGCACCTATTTCTTTATCACCAGTGTCACGGATGTTTATAAAGAAATATTGCACATATGGCCCTATTACTGATTTAGGACTAAGTGGTATATTTCATATTAGATGTGTCATATCAGTGTGAAGATCTCGGTCTCGTGATCATGTCAGTGTCAACTGTGTCATGTTTGTGTGTGTTATTTATTAGTCCGTGATACTCAGTATCAGCCAGCACAACCCTGGTGGCACAAGTTGGAGATTTTATGATGCTTCATTGAATATTAGTTTTTGCTATGTTGATATGCAATATGTACATTGGCAGTCCATCGATCTCCAGATCTATCTATCAACATCATCTGCACTCATCGATATCCAGATTCCCTCAGTTATCCTTGTGGCCATTTTCCTTTCATAGTCATTTCTGTGAATAGTGTGCGACACACCTAGATACTGCATCTGTAAGCTGAACCATGTTCAGCTTACAGATGCAATCATATGTCCTGGATCTGCCCCTGTCCCGGTATCTCAGTTGGATTTGTGCTAGAATTTATATTTCAGTTAATGAGTTTGATATGTATTAAACATGTGGAGCCTAGGGCACATAAAGGGTTCCAGGGATGAAGCGTGTCAAATACCACCTAGCCCACTATCATGTAACTAGGTTAGGGGGCATGGGGGTAGCCTTGTGGGTAAAGCGTTAGCTCGCCACGCTGAAGACCTGAGTCCGATTCCCCTCAAGGGTACAATGTCTGAAGCCCATGTTTGGTGTTCCTGCTGTGATATTGCAGGAATAGTGCTAAAATGGCCTAAAAGGGTACTCACTCACTCTAGCTAAGTTCAACTTTGGAATACTTCATTACAGGAAGATTGATAAAACTTGCAGTTGGGAATGGGGTGGTGGGGTAGCCTTGTGGTTAAAGCATTTGCTCATCACGCCAAAGGTCCGGGTTTGATTCCCCTCATTGGTACAATGTGTGAAACCCATACCATGTGTCCCCCACCGTGATATTGCTAAAAATGGCATAAAGCCATCCTCACATTCACACACAGTTGGGAAGGAGTTGTGTTCATGCTGAGGAAAATACACGACGATAAGGTATGAGAAAGAAACGTTAGAGAAAACTTTAATATATTTTAGAAGATAGCCAGCTGTTTTCTCTCTAACACTTGCAGGTTTTGGACTTAAAACCTGATCAATGACATAGGTATGGCCGGAATGAGGGGAGGCTGTGTAGCCTTGCGTTTGATTCATTACGTGGGCAGAGTGTGGGAAGCCCTTTGGGAGCAATTGTTGGATAAAATAATAGTTGTAACTCCTTGGGTTTGGGGATGGGGGAGTTATCATGTCTGAAAGTTTTCCATCCGACCAAATCAACTTTTGAGCATTTTCTGTTCCAAGTCAATCAGTAGGAGTTGAAGTCATCATGCTTTTCTCTTAAATACTCAGCTTCACTTCCTGAAAGATGAAAGTCATGATAGTGCAAGTCAAAACCCTTCCTTTAATGGTGAGTTGGTGGTGATCCTCGAATTCTGTTGTGCTTTTTGATAACATTTATGCATAGTAAAGTGATTTGTGCATTTCTCTTTCCAGGATGTCAACACTTTCACGATTATGTTTTAAGTGATGTGGGGGGGGCTAGTCTCAAAACTTAAGGAATTAATTTTTATGTCTGACATCCAACTTTTTGAACTACTCCCATATGGTGTTGTAGCCTGAGGACTCCCCACTGCTCATGCCCTGTAAAATCTTCCCTCTGCCTTCTTCAACAAGACCGCACTGTGTCAACTGTCTGTGCATCTTAAGTAAGAATTTTGCATACTCTTATTTTAAGTTACCTATTGTGAAAGTTGATGGAGCCCTTGGATTTATGAAAATAATGTTCATTGATCTTGACATGTGAATATATATTGTTTTTCAATAGACGTGATGTACAGTGCGGATGTACCACCCCAGACTCCTTGTGTGTGAATGTCCGTCTTGTAAAAGTCTTTACTTGACATGTTTTTATGAAAGTTAAATATTTTCATGAGGTGTAATTGTAAATGGTGACATTTTTTGTGCCCATCATGCCTTTGAAAATAAAATTAAAGTCATACCATTCAAATAGATTGACTTGCCTTTTGTGTTCACATTGTGTACAAACATCGGGACTGTTTGGTTTGAATTGATGTTCTTGGCATTGTCAACAAATCAGTATCTGTAGAATTAATTATCAACACTTCTGTCACATGTTTGTCCCAAATATCACCTTCTATCCTCAGGTTTCCGTCTTGCATCCCTGAGTTTTACTGGTGTCTCCCTGTTTGACTTGTGCATGCCATTGTGACTCAGTTTCACAGTGATTGATAAGTGATAGTGAAAATTGTATGAAGATCCTCGAAAAACAAAAACATAAATGCTGATCTGTGAAACACATCCCTTTTATCTACTCTGGTGATTCAACTTAAAATAAACTCTTCAAAACCACAATAACATACTCTAATCAAACCAAAATGGTAATAACTGACAAAATATCAAACACTGGTAAATTCTAAAGGTAAATACGAGTATTCCAACTCTCAACAGTTATTTACACAATAAGTTATTTATATTTACAAAGATACAGACAAATCCAAATTGTCATAGATAATTGCACAATGCAGTATTATGGCGCATTCTCACACAATCCCACATTCTCACTACTGTCTATGAAACCTTTGCATACATGCCACACAAGATGACAGAGTTACCTCCCTTGTGGCGATCAGCACATGCACATCTTACCACCATACCTGCAGCACAGGTTTTACAAGACAACTGTGAGATGTAAAAAGATTATTTGTGTTGTTGCCCACAATTAAATGCACAAATAAACAAGTAGGTCGTAAAAATAAAATGGCTTTGATGAGATCGATTAAAGAATAACTTGAACTTGATTGTACATTCACACCAAACAGGTCGCTACGTCAAGATATCTATCCCCCCCCCCCCCCCCCAAGTTAGGTAAGAAACATTCTTTCTGCATTTTCAGATTTGGAATAAACAACATGAATGCCTTGTGACATATGTATGACTTAGTTTCATGGCGTATGTTCAGATTTGTGGCATATTTTCAAAAGCCCTGTACATAATGAAAAATGTAACGGTTTGAAAACATAGCAATATTCTAAAAATAAAACTGAGCCTAATGATTGTAAAGTGTCTACAAGGGGGAAGCAAGACAGAACCACAATAACAAACCGACAGCATCCCTTGACGTCAACATGATGCCACAACTAACAATTGAACACTCTGAAACCTACATCTGCATAACAAATATGTTACTGGTAATTGAACATTTAGCTGCAGTCAAGTACACACATAATGGTTTCGAAAATCCAGAAATATACTGAACAAAAGAAGTTAGGGATCATGAATATTTATTAGGTCCGGGTGTCGATCCCAGGCCGCGTCATACCAAAAGGCGTTAAAAGATGGTACTTCTTGTTACCTTGTCTGGCACTCGGCATTAAGGGGCTTAAATAAGGACTGGTCAGCTCAGAGTCAGTCTACTGTGTCTGAGTGGGGTAGGAGTATTTTTATTGAATTGTTTTCTAGTCTCCACTTAAAATACATATCCCCCTAAATATTCATGATCCCTAACTATTTTTGTTCAGTATAGTTCAGAAAACAGTGAATAAAAGAGGTGAAAGGTATCCCCCAAAGGTTCAGCATGTTATAAATTCTTTAAAGAACAATATTACAGATCGCAAGACTAAGACATGTTTATATTGAAAACAAATTTTCAAAAGCAAATAAATGCCATAAATTTAAACAATCAAAGCATCAGCACACATCATTCAAAATTAATACATTCAGGCATCGGTAACCTACAAAACCTAGACTTTGATGATAATGCATATATGTGTGTACAATCGTCATCATTGCTGTACAACCACTTAACAGTCAATGTCAAATTGAGTCATTACTTTTTAAACACATCAAACAATCATTAAGTCAAGAACAGACTTCAGTAATATATTTGGCCACATATTTAGATACAGAAAAAACAACATGAAATGTTGACAAGATCATGTGCAGAATTTAGCATTGTGCAAGATCTTTTCATTCCAAATTTTTACTGTATGATATATATAACATGACAAATAACATGGGTTGTGTTCCTGGGGTACATGCCGATATGGAGGCAACATGTATACTGAACTGTAAAAGAAAAGTCACATCCTGAAAGTTTCTTCATAAGTCTTGGCATGGCGCTATTATTGATACAAGAATGTTGGATCCACGTACTGGGGTGCCATTTATCAGGAAAGGGACAAGGAAATGCAAGTGAATTTATTTTTATTTTCATGGAAAGCATTCAGGGCTTTGTACCATGGTCGTATGTTAAGCTGTGTTTTGGTGACCTATCATATCCATATTTGTGTCACTTTTTCATCGTTCACATTAAATTTGTGAACTAATGTCACTAACGAGAGAACTTCAAAACAAGCATTGATATTTCAATGGGAAACTTTCATGGAGTATTCTCATGAAGTGATATTTCTTTTGCCATTCAGTATATTTTATATGACAATTTTTATTAAAATTAAAAAAATAAATATATTGGGAAAAAAGTTTATGTATTTGATTTAAGGGTAAGAAAAAATCAGAACTTACAGATGAGGATTGTTCAGTACAAAGTTTTACAAGTAATTTCCTCCAATCTGAAGGCGCTGGATCAGATGTGTTCAGTATATCCTTTTTATATGGCCTTGGACTTATATTTTGTTATGACTGCAAAGGATGTTAGTTTAAGGCCAGCCAATTTCACTGAAGTTCACAGCCAATGCCGATGCCACCATCTTGTGTGTAAACATATACATTACACTGAATATTCCCTATAGCCTTCTCACATAGACTGGTGACTGGCTGTATTGGCACTGCATAACCTTTATCATCATGTTCTTCTTGCATATATTCTGATGAATCTATTTCTGTCAAACAGCCATGTTGGGATTGTCCTCTTTACAAATGCCCAAGAACTTTGAATGCCAACAAATGCCATAAATATTGTTCATATAAAACAAAAAGCAAAATTGAGAAACCTCTTGAAGCTCTAAAATTTCAAAATCTGGACATGACATCACAAAAAAACCAATTGTCATTAATTAAGTTAAGAACTGTTCACACATATATTAAACAATTACAGCGTACATTGATTCCAATTCTCTGAAAAGTACAGGCTGAAAAGTTGTACGCTGACAGTCCTTGACAGTGACAGAAGGGGTTCAGGATAAAACAATCTTGGGGGGTGATAAGTCTAAATACCTTGCTAGCAACTCACTTCTTCTTTGAAGATCCCCAACCCCCACTTTGAAAACAGAAAACATTGACGCAGTCATGTCTTACATTTCCCCCCACAAATTAAGGCTGCCGTCCATACCAGGCTTAGCTGAAGCATCGTCTATATTGCACACACCACTGATTGCACATGTTGATACCTTGAAATATGAATGTCAAATAAATCTGTAGCCCTCTCTCAAGTTACCTATAGTGAGTGAGTTGTGTTTAATGCCGCTTTGAACAGTGTTCCAGTTATATTCACAGCATAGTTAGCTTTTGGACACACAAGACTTTAATTCCTAAATTTGCAATAAACACAAAGATTCTTGGTAAAAATTCCATCAATCTCTTACAATGCTGCTTTGGTGTAGTTAAAAAACTGGAGGTTTTGATATGGTTCTGAAATACAAAACCTTTGAAGTAACACCTATTAAATCCTTTATTAAATCATAAATGTATCAAAGATATTGGTCTTACCAGTGCTTTCTTGTTTTGCATATTTTTTTTGCATATATACTTGGTCAAAATTAAAAAATTTAAAAAAAAGATGAAAATGTTTTAGGATTGGTATTAGATTCACCCACACCCACAAAAGAAAACCACCACCCTGAACAAGAGCCCTGACTGATAAAATTTTCAACAGAATATAATCAGAAAAAAATAAAATAAAGCCTATTTTCTATAAATCTCTGCATTTTCACAAATTTCTTTTTCCAAATTTTGGATGAGTTTCATCTGCATCCAAAGAAAAACACATTTGTCGGAAGAGGATACACAATTTGGGAGTTCTTCCCAGTTAAAATGATCATCAACCATAGGGGTGTAAGGGAGAATACCCAAGGTGTTCAGTCAGTCAGCCCATTGCCTTCAGGGAGATGTACATAGGGATATTGAGGCAGACAGTTTAATCCAGGCAGGGTTCAAGTCCATTCTCATTATCTTGTATATGTATCCTAGCAGCAGAAGTTAATGCTACCCCATGGCTACAAAAAACTAAAAAAGTATACACACATTGAAGACCAGTTGCCCTGCATTTTGTTTTTATTTATGAAATGCTGTTATTTGTGATTTTCACATCACAACCTAGAACAGAAAACCTACTTTTCAAGAGTGTTCTAATCTGTCATACAGACCCTGAAACAAATATATCCAACACAGCCCATGCAAGTCTATAATGTTTGGCATGTCTAGATTACTGCAGTATCTGAAAATGAAGAAAGTCTCTGGACTCCTTTTTATTATATTTTATAACCATAATTTAACAACTGTTTTTTTCTGTAAAATATGTTCATTGCAGAGACTAGATGTACGTCTAAGGGTGTTCCTGTTCATGAGGTTGTAGAGGCCTGACAGCTTGGCAGATAAAGCTTTCATGGTAATTTCTAACACAGCATGGCATCCAATTTTGTTAAAGACAAGATATTAAATTCTCAGGTGAAATTGGCTAGTCGTGTGAGCAAATTGATAGATATGTAATGTTTCTTCTCACTTCAAGCTGTGCAGTTGACATGTGCTGAGTACTGAGAGTGGTGCAGCTGTGGGATGCAGATGGCAGGAGAGACCCCATCAGGAAGAAGTGAGGAGAGCACACTATGGGCCAGTTGTTTGTGCAAGGACAAAGTGAGTTTCCTTCAGTCCCGTCAAGCTGATTTTAAGGCCTATTTTAATTGCTTTACAGCGTTTTTGTTGGAACTAAACAAAACCTATGATTTGAAGTGATCTCTAAAAATACAGCCAAGTGGTTAAAGCGTTCGCTCGTCACGCCGAAGACCCGGGTTCGATTCCCGACATGGGTACAATGTGTGAAGCCCATTTCTGGTGTCCCCTGCCGTGATTTTGCTGCAATATTGTTAAAAGCGGCGTAAAACCATACTCACTCACTCACTAAAAATACATGTTAAAGCTTATCCCATTGACCCACACTAAAGGTTTGTTTTTTCTTTACTAAATTAGATAGACTTGGCTCCACGAAAAAAATAGAATTATTATCATATTGTATTTTACTCCAAATTTATGAAATTTTTAGTCAGTGGATCCATGAACCCAGTCATTAAAAACTCTGCCTGACATAGTTTCCATTTTGGAGACAGGCAGAGTTGCTTCCCTTAGCCATGCCAAGAACGTTTAATGATGGGTTCACATCAGAGATTTGCCCTAATTTACTGAAGTGGTAAAACATGATGACTTATGTCAATTTAGTCTTTGCTACCTTGTTAAGCTTATGACCTAACCAGGGCACCCTGTCCAGCAAACCACAGGTAAGAGGCAGGGGATTAGCTGTGCACTACACCATTTAGTTGGTTGTTTTGAGCTGTAGAAGTTTCAGGACATCATCTGTGCCAGGGGATGGCTGTCTTCACTGTCATGTTAGCCACCAATATCGGCCACAGGACACTGCATGGCACAATCTCCTCTTGTCATAATGTTCAATGTAGGACACAAATTGATTTCAATAGTTTCTGTGCTTATGATAGAAATACTCAAACAATAATATACATCAGAAAGTGTTATAATTACCACAAATGTCACACGAGTATTACCCAAGACTGTAGCCTATAGACAGTGTATGTACAGTGTGATGGCGAGAGACGGAGGAGACACAGACCCACCTGGGGCCGTGTCACTGATGTTAGGCTGTGGAGTGAGCGAGCTTTCATTTCAGCTGAGAGTCTACCAACATGACTCCACCCTCTCCATGTGCTTGTTTATTTTTTCATGACCTTGCTAAAGGATGGTAAATTCAAAAGCAGTGACATAAATATTAAAATCAAAACATTAGCAATGCTAAATTCCATTCCTTGTTCAACAGATCTGAGTTCCCTTGAGTAAACATTATGTACCGGTAAACTTTGTCTGATAAAAAACCCATTATTTATATCTCTAAGATTTTGTTTAGTTATAACATTATTTAACCTCCCATACCCGATTTGTTTCACGACATTTCCCTTTAGTGACCCTGCCTCATCCCACATTGTAATGAATGACAGATCTCAAGTGTATGTCCCATCTCCAGGTCACTCCCCAGTGCGGGGGGACGTCGTGCGGGGTGATGTTGTGTCACCCTTCTGCACCACAGATCTCTCCTCCTGTTGGGGTAATTGTTATTGCACTCACAGTCAGCTCAAAGAGTTTGACTCTCTGCATCACTGCACTATGTATTGATAATGTGCCTCCAGTCTAGACTTTCCACATTCAGATGTGCATCATCATTCACCCACTGTCCACTGATAATTCTATGTCTCCACACTGACCATAACATGATACAAACTTGCCTAAATTGAGTCCAATTAAATAATCATATACCATTACCAAAATGTGATGCTAAATATCTAAATATTACCCTAGAAGAAAATTATTTCCATATTGGAATTGCTCTTTGGGGCCCGTCCAGAAATATAATCTTAAATGGGTTTTTTTCAAATTGATCAAATCATCCTGTCTGCCATATAAGTGGGACTTGTCATTCTATCTGTGCTCAGCATCTGATGTTGGTGTAGACATTGTGGTGGAATCCTCGGAGAGTCCATGTGACAGGGCAGAGTGGTGGGAGCCTCCCTACAGATGCTCCAGAGTCCCATAGGTCCGAGAGTCCATGTTGCAGGGTGGAGTGGTGGGAGCCTCCCTACAGATGCTCCAGTGTCCCATAGGTCCGAGAGTCCATGTTGCAGGGTGGAGTGGTGGGAGCCTCCCTACAGATGCTCCAGTGTCCCATAGGTCCGAGAGTCCATGTTGCAGGGTGGAGTGGTGGGAGCCTCCCTACAGATGCTCCAGTGTCCCATAGGTCCGAGAGTCCATGTTGCAGGGTGGAGTGGTGGGAGCCTCCCTACAGATGCTCCAGTGTCCCATAGGTCCGAGAGTCCATGTTGCAGGGTGGAGTGGTGGGAGCCTCCCTACAGATGCTCCAGTGTCCCATAGGTCCGAGAGTCCATGTTGCAGGGTGGAGTGGTGGGAGCCTCCTTACAGATGCTCCAGTGTCCCATAGGTCCGAGAGTCCATGTTGCAGGGTGGAGTGGTGGGAGCCTCCCTACAGATGCTCCAGTGTCCCATAGGTCCGAGAGTCCATGTTGCAGGGTGGAGTGGTGGGAGCCTCCCTACAGATGCTCCAGTGTCCCATAGGTCCGAGAGTCCATGTTGCAGGTGGAGTGGTGGGAGCCTCCCTACAGATGCTCCAGTGTCCCATAGGTCCGAGAGTCCATGTTGCAGGGTGGAGTGGTGGGAGCCTCCCTACAGATGCTCCAGAGTCCCATAGGTCAGAGAGTCCATGTGACAGGGCGGAGTGGTGGGAGCCTCCCTACAGATGCTCCAGTGTCCCATAGGTCGGAGAGTCCATGTTGCAGGGTGGAGTGGTGGGAGCCTCCCTACAGATGCTCCAGTGTCCCATAGGTCGGAGAGTCCATGTTGCAGGGTGGAGTGGTGGGAGCCTCCCCTACAGATGCTCCAGTGTCCAATAGGTTGGAGAGTCCATGTTGCAGGGTGGAGTGGTGGGAGCCTCCCTACAGATGCTCCAGTGTCCCATAGGTCGGAGAGTCCATGTTGCAGGGTGGAGTGGTGGGAGCCTCCCCTACAGATGCTCCAGTGTCCCATAGGTCGGAGAGTCCATGTTGCAGGGTGGAGTGGTGGGAGCCTCCCTACAGATGCTCCAGAGTCCCATAGGTCGGAGAGTCCATGTGACAGGGCGGAGTGGTGGGAGCCTCCCTACAGATGCTCCAGTGTCCCATAGGTCAGAGAGTCCATGTTGCAGGTCACTGTTCACTTGTTCCACTGCTGGCCTGGGTTACAGTCCTATCCTTGGTAAGTCAACTGTTTTACAGGCAGTGGTGTTGTGATTATGGTGTTGACTTGTCCCAGAGACGTTACAGTTTGTGAAGCCAATGGTGTGTTACAGGTGGTGGAGTGGGAGGTTAGTGTTCAGTTGTCCCACAGACAGCTTCAGCTGCAGTCCTGTCATCGTTACAGATGGAGACGCCCCCTGCTGTTGTCATGTTTGAGATCCTGCTAACCACAGAACCAACCCATGGATCCCATGAACTGGATATGTTCCTTCCAGTTAGCCCTGTCCTAATGTCTTGTGACCGTCTTAATAACACCTTGTACAAATCTTCATTGGCCAGATTCCATCCCTCATATTCATAAAAGCAAACATAAATAGAATTTTCATCTGACAAGTTTCAGTCATTCCATAGGACAATCGTTACAACAGAACAGTAGCCAGCAAGCCATCTCACAAAGTAGCCAAACTCTTACAGAACTTTACAAACGACAATACCAGTTTACAATTGTCAGAGGTCAAAGCTGAAGTTTCAGATGAAAATATCTGTAACAGAGCTTGTCAATACTAAACATAGTGTGACCTGGTTCGTTCTTGTGATTGTAACTTTGTGACCAATCATAAAGTACCCAATTTGCTGAGAGAGTCAGTTATCAATGACTGACATATTCAGTTACGAAATTAAGTTTTGTAAAAAGTCAGTAAGTCCGATAACGGCGTTCGTCCATTCCCTGGGCACCATCATCCATGTCATACTCCTCCATTGTCGACAGCCGCTGCTTGTAGCCAGGGTGCTTCTTCATCAGTGACCTCTCAACATCCTTCAGCTTCAACAACAAAAGCATCCACATCAGCACCACAGCATTAATAGTAGCCCACACTATTGCAATAGTATTGCGATGGTAGTGAACCAACTTTAAGGCTTGATGATTATGTCAATTAATGTATTAGAAATGAATATAGTATTGCTGACTATATCAAAGTCGCCATTTTCCTCTTTGTTGCTACTCAAAACAAGGGAAGTAACTCTTATCTGAACTTATTATAATCCTTGCTAACCAACACAAAGGCATGTTTGATATTTGCATAGTTTATGTTTTATCTATAACTAATAGCAACTATTGAATCTACTGATTTTATGCATACTATCAACAATACTACTGACATTCGGATGTAGTACTATCATACAGCAAACAAATGCAATACATAGGGCGACATATATATCGCAACATCTGACGTATCTTAATAGTCCTTGAAATGATACACTGCTGGCAGACAAAGGCTTGTTTTGTCAAGCATGATGAGTTACCTCTATCTCTGGCCCCGGCCATGACGGCAGGCCGGGGTGGGTCGGGGAGGGCTGTCCAGACTGCGGTGCTGTGGAGAGGGGTCGGACCATCGAGGAGACAGAGGCTGTGGACATTCGGGAGGACATGGACAGCGTGCGCCGTCTGAATGGCCGCTGGGGGCGATCAGTGTCCAACTCCTCATCCTGGAAACAGAACACACATCTATCACAGTTGGCAATAGGTAATCTCAAAGAATGTTTTCACATCAGTAGAAAACAAAAGGTAACAATTGAGAGAATTATACCTTTTTCTTTATTAAGAAAACCCCAACGTTGTAAGTATATCAAGCCCCTGTGAACAGTGCTAATTAAGATGCCTCAGTGTGCCGGGAAGTTTAACAACTAGCAAGTTTACTAAAGGTACCATTTACATACAAGTCTTGATACAAACTTACAATGTCGTCGGTCAGCACAACAGCATTCTCATTTTCTGCGGCTCTCTTCTTACGAAGCTCGACCATCATCTCTCGAAACTGCTCCTTCAGATGCTCGATCTTCTTCATGGCATGAGCCTCGTTGTGGGAGAACTTCCGTGCAGAATGCGACTCGAGCTGCAGCTTCAGGTCATGCAGCTCCTGCTGTACTAGCGACATCTGCAGCTGGATCTGCAAGGGGAGACAACTCTGTAGTTCCCTTATTGGGAGAGTGACTCATTGATGCAGGTTGTATAGACATTTACCACTTTGATCAAGTCCATGAAATCAGTGAGAATCTTAGCTTCGGACACAGCTTAAAGATAAGCATTTTCTAAAGGACGCAACTCTGATCATATAAGTCCATTGCCTCAGACAACCAGACACCGGGTAACACCCAATCCCTTCAGTGGTCAGGGTAGTGTGTTATCATCCAGGTATTAGATTAACCCAAGTAGACATTGTGAACACCCAATCCCTAGTCAGCTGAGACATGGGCTATTTTCTTGGCTGGAATTGCCCAAGTAGCACAAATGAACTTTATAAATGATGTATGTGCACTGTGTGTGTGCATGGGCGGATACAGCTTTTTTGAAAAGGGGGGTTGCACAATTAAGATCTATTTATTGTCTTTGGTGGTAATTTATACAGAAATAAAGATTTTTTTCGAAATAAAAAGGGGGGGTGCGCACCCCAGCACCCCCCATCTGTATCCGCCCATGGTGTGTGTGTGTGTGTGTGTGTGTGTGTGTGTGTGTGTGTCTGCATGCGCGTGCACACACCTGTTTCATCAAGTAAAGCATCTCAAAGCAACATGTGCCTACAGTGATCAATAACAACATATATACATCCTTAAACAGACACCTTGTATGGCGATGCCAAGAATTACTGAAATTCTAATCATTTTAAGCTTAGATTTAAGAAGACAGCGATGGTACAGAAATAGTTTCTGACACTCTGTGAGCTAATTTCTACACATAGTGCCCATGTTCAAGGGATCATGAAGTAAAGTTTGTTGTTGGAAGCTATCCAACACCAATATATCCATCTCGGGTTTACGACAGATGCAGCCTCCGCACCGGGGCCGCTTGCATCGCGCTAATACACAGCCAATTAGATACACTTACATATCATCTCAAAACCAATTAGCTGCTCCAGCACACACAGCATCATAGGCCTACCTTGTTCATTCTGGGTTCTATTTCAACACATTTACTTCATCCTTGGTAAAACTTTTCTATAATTTGTAGACAGCTGTAAAATACTGACATGATTGTACCTTCATTCAGATAAAGACCCAGCACTTCTTTTGAATCTGTGATGAACGTCACATTCAAATTACTGCTGTTTGAAAACTTTAAATGTATTTAGGCGAATATGATGGCAGGTGGTTAATTTCAAGCTGTATTTTCCTGAAACTTGCTTTATTGTTCTTTTTTTACTTTAGATAATAAACAGGTTTGTAACATCAACATGTCTACCTTTGTATACAAATGAACTTGGAAATATCAATTTAGCCATAAAGTTTTATATTTTTCCAATACTTTGTTTACATAGCTGCTGACCCCAAAATGCTGAACATTAAAACTGTAAGGCTGATCTTTTATCTTCCCATCCAGGCTAAGACTTTCATTAAAACAAATATTCCAAAGTTGAATCACATGGGAAGGGGAAGTAACTCTTGACTTGTCAATCAAAGAAATATTCAAAGCAGCATGTATCTTGATTAACCAGTACATGTGTTTCTATTTACACTACTGACTATAGTTTTGTGAGAAGACTTCAATAAATAGACTGTTTTATAAATATTTCAATCACAAACCCCATGGTCTTAAAAATATCTAATTGGGAACCAAGAAATCATGAAGAGGAAACCAAAGTTCCTCTCTATCCTAATGATGATATGTGCCCAATGGAGATCACAGAGGGAGTAGCTAGAGAGGGGGTAAAGGTGATGTATTTACCTGTTCCACAATGAGATCACTAAGGGAGTAGCTAGAGAGGGGGTAAAGGTGATGTATTTACCTGTTCCACAATGAGATCACTGAGGGAGTAGCTAGAGAGGGGATAAAGGTGATGTATTTACCTGTTCAACAATGAGATCACTGGGGGAGTAGCTAGAGAGGGGATAAAGGTGACGTATTTACCTGTTCCATGGTGAAGTTACTGAGGGACTAGCTACTGAGGGGATAAAGTAACGTATTTACCTGTTCCACAGTGATATCACCTTGGGACTAGCTAGAGAGGGGATAAAGTGACGTATTTACCTGTTCCACAATGAGATCTCTGAAGGAGTAGCTAGAGAGGGGATAAAATGACGTATTTACCTGTTCCACGGTGAGATCACTGAGGGAGTAGCTGGAGAGGGGATAAAGTTATATATTTACCTGTTCCACAGTGAGATCACTGAGGGAGTAGCTAGAGAGGGGATTAAGTGACGTATTTACCTGTTCTACAGTGAGATTTCTGAGGGAGTAGCTAGAGACGGGATAATGGTGATGTATTTCCCTGTTTCTCGGTGAGATCACTGAGGGAGTAGCTAGAAAGGGGATAAAGTGACATATTTCCCTGTTCCACAGTGAGATCACTGAGGGAGTAGCTAGAAAGGGGATAACGGTGATGTATTTACCTGTTCCACAGTGAGATCACTGAGGGAGTAGCTAGAGAGGGGATAAAGTGACGTATTTACCTGTTCCACAGTGAGATTTCTGAGGGAGTAGCTAGAGAGGGGATAAAGGTGACGTACTTACCTGTTCCTCGGTGAGATCACTGAGGGAGTAGCTAGAGAGGGAAAAAGTTATGTATTTACCTGTTCCACGGTGAGGTATCTGAGGGCATAGCGAGAGAGGGGATAAAGTTACATTTTTACCTGTTCCACGGTGAGATCACTGAGGGAGTAGCTAGAGAAGGGATAAAGTTATGTATTTACCTGTTCCATGGTGAGATCACTGAGGGAGTAGCTGGAGAGGGGATAAAGTTATATATTTACTTGTTCCACGGTGAGATCACTGAGGGAGTAGCTAGAAAGGGGATAAAGTGACGTATTTTACCTGTTCCATGGTGACATCACTGAGGGAGTAGCTAGAAAGGGGATAACAGTGATGTATTTACCTGTTCCATGGCGAGATCACTGAGGGAGTAGCTAGAGAGGGGATTAAGTTATGTATTTACCTGTTCCACAGTGAGATATCTGAGGGAGTAGCTAGAGAGGGGATAAAGTGACGTATTTACCTGTTCCATGGTGAGATCACTGAGGGAGTAGCTAGAGAGGGGATAAAGTGACTTATTTACCTGTTCCACGGTGAGATCACTGAGGGAGTAGCTAGAGACGGGATAATGGTGATGTATTTACCTGTTCCTCGGTGAGATCACTGAGGGAGTAGCTAGAGAGGGGATAAAGTTATGTATTTACCTGTTCCACGGTTAGATCACTGAGGGAGTAGCTAGAGAGGGGATAAAGTGACGTATTTACCTGTTCCACAGTGAGATTTCTGAGGGAGTAGCTAGAGAGGGGATAAAGGTGATGTATTTACCTGTTCCATGGTGAGATCACTGAGGGAGTAGCTAGAGAGGGAAAAAGTTATGTATTTACCTGTTCCATGGTGAGATCACTGAGGGAGTAGCTAGAGAGGGGATAAAGTGACGTATTTACCTGTTCCACGGTGAGATCACTGAGGGAGTAGCTAGAGAGGGGATAATGTGACGTATTTACTTGTTCCATGGTGAGTTCACTGAGGGAGTAGCTAGAGAGGGGATAATGTGACGTATTTACTTGTTCCATGGTGAGATCACTGAGGGAGTAGCTAGAGAGGGGATAAAGTGACGTATTTACCTGTTCCACGGTGAGATCACTGAGGGAGTAGCTAGAGAGGGGATAATGTGACGTATTTACTTGTTCCATGGTGAGTTCACTGAGGGAGTAGCTAGAGAGGGGATAAAGTGACTTATTTACCTGTTCCACGGTGAGGTATCTGAGGGCGTAGCTAGAGAGGGGATAAAGGGACGTATTTACCTATTCCACAGTGAGATCGCTGAGGGAGTAGCTAGAGAGAGGATAATGTGACGTATTTACCTGTTCCACGGTGAGTTCACTGAGGGAGTAGCTAGAGAGGGGATAAAGTGACGTATTTACCTGTTCTACGGTGAGGTATCTGAGGGCGTAGCTAGAGAGGGGATAAAGTGACGTATTTATCTGTTCCACAGTGAGATCACTGAGGGAGTAGCTAGAGAGGGGAAAAAGTTATGTATTTACCTGTTCCACAATGAGATCACTGAGGGAGTAGCTGGAGAAGGGGATAAAGTTACATATTTACTTGTTCCACGGTGAGATCACTGAGGGAGTAGCTAGAGAGGGGATAAAGTTATATATTTACCTGTTCCACGGTGAGATCACTGAGGGAGTAGCTAGAGAGGGGATAAAGTTACATATTTACCTGTTCCACGGTGAGATCACTGAGGGAGTAGCTAGAGAGGGGATAAAGTTACATATTTACCTGTTCCACGGTGAGATCACTGAGGGAGTAGCTGGAGAGGGGATAAAGTTACATATTTACCTGTTCCATGGTGAGATCACTGAGGGAGTAGCTAGAGAGGGGATAAAGTTACATATTTACCTGTTCCACGGTGAGATCACTGAGGGAGTAGCTAGAGAGGAGCTGCATAGATTCCATGCGGCGGCAAATCTGCTCACCAGGAATACGCCGATGAGCCAGGAGTTTGGATAACGAATCCATCTGAAATAATCACAAATTTTACTGAGGCATTGTATGAAAAGCGAAAACTAGGGTTGGGGAGTAGTTTATGTTTTTGAGATCAAATTGCATTTTTCATCAGAAAACAGTTTACGCTTAGCGCCAAAAATGCATTGCTCGTATTCCCCAAGACATTTATATTAGCCTTAGTTTAGCTTTAGTGTTCCTTGGCCCATTGTCACTCCAGGTCTCGACCTTGCAACTTGTGTCCTGTTTGACATTGAGATTTAATGGCAATCACTAACTGTGTTACATTGTAAAATCTGAATTTGCAGACGTATATCGCATCATTTTAACAACTTTAATCAGATTTGCTTGAATCAGTTTCAGGTTTTGTTTGTTTGTTTGTTGTTTAACGCCACACTCAGCAATATTCCAGCTTCAAGTACCACATGCTTGTCATAGAGGTGACTTAGTTGGTGAATCCTGTGGCCAGGCTCAGTGACTTTGTTTATTCATGTCTGCTTGTTTGTTTGTTGTTTAACCACGCACTCAGCAATATTCCAGCCATCTTCCCGAGGCAAGGGAGTTAACTGACTATAAAAGTCCAGTTTCCACAGTTGCCGAACTAGGCTGGTATTATGGAGTTATATTTTGGCTGGACTAACGAGTCTATGTATAGTCCAATCAAAATCAAAATCCGGTTAGTAAACTGTCGTGCAGATTTCGGTCAATGGCATGATTTGCAAAGCATGTGCACCTCCAACTCGTTGTCAACAGATATTTTCCAAGTCTTTTCACGTTTTCAATCAAGGTGCTCACGTGATTTGATGCACTTCGCGAGGTAAAACCCGTTTTATCACAATATAGATTTTGATTATCGAGCAGATCGTCTTGACTGGGCGCCAACATTTTGTTTGAAACAAATGCAAGTGATACGAGAGGTGGAATCTGATTGGTCTATAGGAGAGGCTTATAAGGAACATAACTTGCAATAACAACTGGTGGCGCTACGATTGAGCCCAGGAATTCCAGCCTATTTCGGCAAGGGTGGAAACTGGACTTTTACAGTCAGTTAACTCCCTTGCCTCGGTAAGATGTATTCCAACTATATGATGTAGTTTATAAAAAATCGAGTCTGGACCAGACAGTCCAGCCATTAATATCATATTGGGATCGATGACATGCATCAACCAAGTCAGCGAGCCTGACCACCCGATCCCGTTAGTCGCCTCTTACGCCAAACATAGTCGTTTTTTACGCCAAGCATTGGTTGCTGAAGACCTATTCTACCCCGGATCTTCACAGGTCGTTTATGCATGTATAGTACCTCTTTAGCAAGGCAGAGTCTAGTATATTTCCTTAAGGACCGGTAAAGCAAATACATGGTCTGTAGGTTCCATGTTATTTTGAGGATGAGCAAAGTAATCTAAATATGTATGACTTTTAAACTCAGCAATAGATCAACTCAAAACTCTTAGCAAATGCAGCAAGCTAAACAACCCTGCATGGTACAGTGGTTACCTTCTTGGCTGGTTTCTCATTCTAATAACGCACACTCACTTGTATGAACACAATAAATTATCTGTCCTTTAAAACCATTTTTGGTCAGCATCATTGTGTCTGGTAGAGATCCAACAGAACAAGTAAATATTTAAGTTGACCTTATCAACAGAAACCCTATTAGTAAATATCACACTTCAATGATGTGTGCAATAAGTGAATATCACCCACACATATTGATATCACATGATGCCGGTCTGGACGTCTTAAGGCAGTGCTTTATGATGATCTTTAGACCTCTCACATGTGACTCTTCTTGATCACCAAAACAACAAAGGCACAGAGCGAGCACCTTGCTGGACACTTATATCACATGGCTCAAGCTGTGGCAATCTACAGGAACTGTGAGCTAATTATGTAGAATGTGGTCATTCTTCTACATGGTAGTGTCGCTATATGGCTGAAATAATGCCGATGCGACATTAAATTTTAACTCACTCACTCTACACTGTAGTATCATGCATGGCAAAATAAGATCTCAATTATAGGTAAACTGGTCTGCTGCCATCTAGTAAGTCATATCTTATGTGGTGTGGGGACAAACAGATTTCCAAAACTGTAAATTGTTATCATTCTCATCCCATTCCATCAGCTCTTGCACCCTCACACTAACACATGGATGGCATGGGGCAAGCAGAGAAGCAAGACTAATGATGCACAGAGCATGAAAGGGCCCATGCATCCAAAAGATGCTTATCTGAGAACTAATTACCTATGTTCCTGACCTGTTCTGGACCAGTTTGTGCAGTACTACTTTCCAGCATCCAATTTCATCTCTCAATTTAACAACCGGCTCCCCTCATTGCTACTGGCATAGACTGTCTTACCTCTCCATCTGGCTTCTACCAACTTGTTACAGTGGGTAAAGGTTAAACTGTGTCTACACTGTATTATCTGTAACTTATCACAAAGAACATGGATGTCAAAACTTGCTTACAGAGACAGCATTAGGGCCTTCACCTCCCCATATCTAGTAGGTAATTGCAACATATTCATTTATACCTTGGAAGAAAAATGTACTGCCATAATCATTTACATACATAATGAAAAGAAAAAAATCTGATTTTAAGGTATTTTTTATGGTGAAGAATGAGCACACATTTCTTAATTCAGAAATGTTTTCATCGAGAACAAATAGACATGAAATAAAGGGTTTATCACACAGCATGATTAAATGATCTTCACGTGAAGCATGAAATAAAGGGTTTATCACACAGTATGATTAAATGATCTTCACGTGAAGCATGAAATAAAGGGTTTATCACACAGCATGGTTAAATGATCTTCACGTGAAGCATGAAATAAAGGGTTTATCACACAGTATGATTAAATGATCTTCACGTGATGCATAAAATAAAGGGTTTATCACACAGTATGATTAAATGATCTTCATGTGAAGTGACAATGGCTGATCAAGGTTGTTTTTAAATGGCCAACTAAAATGCTTAATGTTTCAAGAAGGAAGAAAACCTTTAGAAACTGTTATTTAGGTGTATTTCCAGCTTGTTTCTATTATTTCAACCCCAGTTTATTTCTGTTTGCCCGAAGTAGGTGAAAATAGTACCAACATGCAGTGAAAATTAATCTTTAGTGGCTCACATATTTACTTATAGCTGAAAGTGGTTAACTGAGTTTAGAGATATTTCTGTACTAGGTGAAGTTCAAAACATGAAGGGCTTGTTTATAGTCATATGAATATGTCGGATAACATTAACAACATAAAACACTTTTCTGTAAACTTTGAATTTTTTTGAGTGAGCCTAAACATCCAATCCTTATCTAATCAGAGATGCAGAAACAGAAGATGACACATGGAGATTAATAAAAACATATATTTTTAAAAAATATCATGCAGCTACATGTATATTCACAACGAAAAGAGTTTGGGAATGAAAATTAAAATGAAATGATTCAAAATGGATATTATGTTTGAATGTCAATAAAATAGTTTAGGTTGATTAGAAAAATGCAGTTTGGTCATAACAATTTTCTAAAATGACAGAACTAGCCTAAGATAACCTGTGGCAGTGTCTTTCTGAATTGTTTAGCATTGTTCAAGGCCATATCGATAAACTGTTCCAAGTGCTGATCTTGTGAGCAGTGAGTTAACATGGAGCTTGAGGACAGATACATGGTCTACTGTCTGTTTTGTAACAAAAATGAAAAAAAGCCACACAGCACTGTAGGTCATCTGGAGGGGTGGTCGGGTAGCCTAGTGGACCCCGGTTCGATTCCCGACATGGGTACAATGTGAGCAAACCATTTCTGGTGTCCCCCGCCGTGATATTGCTGGAATAATGCTAAAAGCAGCGTAAAATCAAACTCACTCACTCACTCACTCACTCACTCTCTCATCTGGATGTATAGTCTTCATAATCTTAAAACAAAGACACTGGGTCAATGAACAAAGTTGCTGTCAGCATTGATATTCAAACAAAACTCAAAACTAAAACTATAATGAAATGAACAAAATATAATGTCATCACTAGGAGAACATGTCTGCCAAAGTTCAGGTGACTCAGTCAGACAATTTCACATGGTCAATATGGCTACAATGGTCCTGTGGTCTGAGGAGACAATGTTTACATTTTTTTGCATTTTGATAGAATATAGGAGCATGGCCAAAGTGCGAAGTTCAGATAAAGGTCTTTTTTTTTTAACTATCATGAACTCCACAAGTACAAAATTTCATGACAGTTTGAAGAAAGTGGCTGCATAATGTCCATGTCCAAGTTACAGCTTGAATTGAAAAGGTAAAATCAAATTCAAAATTTTAGCTATCGTAAGAAACAACATACATGCTCAACATGCCAGACATGTACCAAGTTTCACCACATTTTGGCTGAATAACGGCCATAAATAGCTTTTATAGTATGGTTTGCAGTGGTGGCCATATCTAAAAATGTGTTTGCACAAATTGGGGTGTCATCCCTAGACAAACATCAGCTCACTTTGACTTTCGAAAAAGTTAGCTTACACAAAATCTACAGCCTAAAACATGTCATTGACAAATCCCTGATCTTTCCATAGCTCTTGAACACTTCCCCAAACCACTCTCCGAGGAACTAAAGCATGCCCTTTCAGACAATGGCAATTTATCACTGTACTTTTTACCTATATTTTCTGAATTCTCTAATTGCACTGGGGGAAGGTGGTCCCTGTTTGCTATGAAGAAACATTTTGATGTATGGAGTTGCATCCCTTAGCCATACCACAGTCCCCTTATTGTCAGATCAAATGTCGGCCTAGTCCATTTAATAAGGACAAGGGACATAACTTTAGATTTATTACGCAAGGAATTTTGCTGTGACTCATTGACTGAACAATTTGGCGAAATATTTATGTCAAATTGAGCATCATAAGTTTTATAGATGATTTTCTTTTACACATTGAGAAAGTGCAAAAAACTTTTGCCGTATGACATGTTGGCAAAAGAAGGTGTGTAAATCTGGATTATTTTTTCTCTCTCAAATTTGGAC